GCAGCAGCCGGTCACTCGCTCGCTGCGGAGGAGCTGGACCCTTTGAGGAGAAACTAAGAATGGGCTTCTTGCTGGTATTGTACTTCAGACCCTGACCAAGCACTTCTGCAAAAGATTTGGGCTTTATTGCATTTTACCCAGGCCAAGTCCTTCTGCTAATGTTTTTGCCATGTCTCACCATGGCTTCCTGGTTTGGTTTTTGGTTTGGTTTTTTTTTGGTTTGGTTTGGTTTTTTCCCCCCTCTCCGTTATAATTTTGTTCTTGATTTTCGGTGTGACTTGTTGTACTCTATGACAATAACCTTCTTAGCTCTAATGTCCCTCCTACCCCTCAGCAGTTGACCAAGCTCCACCAGTTGGCTATGCAGCAAACCCCTTTTACTCCCCTTGGACAGACCACCCCCGCTTTCCCTGGTACGTACCCACACACCCTTTCTAGATAATCCTTCTCTTCTTACCTGTAGAGTTTCTCTCTCTTTCTAAACTCGCTGCTATGTAATGGAAACAAGCAGGGCAAGGAAAACTGAAGTTGCAATGACCACGGGGAAAGGTGAACAGGGAGATAGGAGGAGTGTTTGGGGGTTATGGTCCTCACGGGTGAGCTCTCGGCCGTTAACCTCCGTGTTGACGGGAGGACAGCCAGACATGACGTGGCTCAGCAGCCTTGTCCCCAAGGCTGGTGTGTTCGTGGTGACCTGGGAAGCAGATAGAGCACAGGGGATGGAGATACTTAAAGTACTTTTGTTTACTCAGTGGTCAAAGTGCCGGTTGGAAATGCCTTTTCTGCCAGTATGTTCATCATATTTTGAGCTTCCTAGATGAAGTGACATTGCTTATCTCCTCGAAGGCAAAAGCATTAAACCTGTTTCTTCTTTGCTCTTCAGGAGAAAAGCTGCCCTTACATTCCTCCGAAGAAGCTCAAAATCTGATGGGCCAATCATCAGGTAAAACACAAAGCTCCAGGGAAATAAGCAGGCTTCTGTTGAAATCTGTTTCTGAAATAGGACTGTGCCTTTGTTGTGCTCCTAGATAAATGGTGGTATTTGTGGAGAAGACGACAGGTCTTCGTGGTGGGCAGGGAGAGGCCGGGCAGCACCGTGCCTGCCATTCTCCTCTGTAGAGCATGTCAAAAGAAAAGTGCTTGGAGTTGTATTGCCTGGGTTTGGGGTTGTTTTTGATGTTTGCGTGTAGCTGCCAGCTGTGTAACAGAAAGACATCAGTCAGCACCCTTCTTCTTGCATTTAATTTTGCATAAACTTTGCTCAGAAACAGTAGAAAAATGCCCGTGGGAACAGAAGTGACATGCAGTTTTAACCACCTCTGAGCCATTCAGGGTGAGCTGCATTTTTAGTGGGACAGGACCCTGAGGAGCCAAAGCCTGGCTGTAATCTTGGAGAAATGTTGATGTCAAGCATCCCTCAGATTCAGCCGTGTCTGCCAAACCTGCTTGTCTTTTGTAACCTGCCATTGCTTGGAGCAGTTATCCCGGGATCGATGCGAGCCAGACCTGGCCTGGGTTCCACACATGCTCTGCGGCCGGCCAGGGTATGTCACATGCATGCCTCAAAGAGTCTGGGGACATCACCTAACGTGGCCCAAGTCAACAGACCCCATGAGACTATAGATTTCCTGACACCAACCTGTGCAGCCTTGTTTTCTGCCTGCCCTACTTTGCCCTCTGCCATCACCCAAGGCACTAATCCTGCCCTGTGTCCCCCACACTGGGGACTGCACGTGTGTCCTAGGGAGGGAAGATCTGATGTGCTAAAATAAACCATCTCTAGGTTAATGGAGAAGGATGTGAGGGAAGATCTGGTGTGCTATAATAAACCATCTCTAGGTTAATGGAGAAGGATGTGAGGGAAGATCTGGTGTGCTATAATAAACCATCTCTAGGTTAATGGAGAAGGATGTGAGGGAAGATCTGGTGTGCTATAATAAACCATCTCTAGGTTAATGGAGAAGGATGTGAGGGAAGATCTGGTGTGCTATAATAAACCATCTCTAGGTTAATGGAGAAGGATGTGAGGGAAGATCTGGTGTGCTATAATAAACCATCTCTAGGTTAATGGAGAAGGATGTGAGGGAAGATCTGGTGTGCTATAATAAACCATCTCTAGGTTAATGGAGAAGGATGTGAGGGAAGATCTGGTGTGCTATAATAAACCATCTCTAGGTTAATGGAGAAGGATGTGAGGGAAGATCTGGTGTGCTAAAATAAACCATCTCTAGGTCAATGGAGAAGGACGTGGCCATTCCTTGATGGCTGTTGAGATGCAGGGTGGTGCAGTACCACGGCACCACGTGCCCCAAGGGCTTTCAGCAGCACCCATGGCATCTGAGTGTGAGGTGAGGGACCCTATCTATGAGTCTGAGGAGCCTTGCTTGCCTTTCCAAAGACCCATGGGTGCCTCAGTGCTGCCCTGAGCCCACTCCCACTGCTCTGCTCCTTTCAGAAGATATTTTCTCCCAAACCCAAGCTGCTACTGAGCTGAGCCTTGTAACACGTGGCCGAGAGACAGGGACACCCCGAGGGACACGAGGTGCAGTCCATGTCACCCAGGACTGAAGAAGCTTGACATGAAAGACAGTCCAGGGCTTCTGAAATGTCTCTTCCAGCACAGCATGCTGTAAAGTCAGCATTAAGCATTGCCCACTGTGTAAAACCTGTTTTGTGCAGATTTTGGTGTTAGTCCACCTGGCAGGGGTGAAGGAGAGCACAGGGCTGCAGAGTGAAGGATTTGCATCCCCATCCCTTGCATTTCGCCTCCTCTGTGTGCTCCCAAGTGAAAAACATGGTGAAGATGCCTCCTGCAAGCAGCTGCCTGCGCCGTGTACCCAGGCGTTGCATCTCTGGAAGGGAAAGCGCAGGAATCATGCCTGAGCTTTTTGGAGGTAGCTGATATTCTCCTTTCCAAGGGGGAAGTTGAAATGGGATTGCAATGTAAAGCTTTGCTTCAGTATTTTAGAGATTTTGCTTTGGCAGTGCTGGATCCCCAAGAGACATCAGACCTGATGGGTTGGAAAACCTGTGCGGCTCTTGCCAGCAAAATTGGATGGGAGCAGAAGACTTCGATGGAAATGCAGACCAGCAAAACTTGGCCATCACTTGCAGTAGCTGCCCAGCACAGTTAAGGCAGCGGCGTACTGCTGTGTGGCATGAGGAAGGAGGCCTACAAGAAAGCTGGGGAGAGACTTTGGCCAAGGGCAGGGGGTGACAGAACAAGGGGTGATGGCTTGAAACTGGAAGAGGAGAGATGGAGAAATTCTTCACTGTGAGGGTGGTGAGCCAGTGTCCCAGGCTGGCCAGAGAAGCTGTGGATGCCCCCTCCCTGGAAGTGTTCTCGGCCAGGTTGGATGAGGCTTTGAGCAACCTGGTCTAGTGGAAGGTGTCCCTGCTGCTGGCAGGGGGGTTGGGACTGGATGAGCTTTAAGGTCCCTTCCAACCCAAACCATTCTATGATTCTGTGATTCTATGAATTCAGTGCTGCTGCTGTCTTGTGTTGTAGCAGCCCAGCACTTCCAGTCTCCTTGTGCTTCTTGTCTCTACACCTCCTTACTCCCCTCTTCCCTCAGAGACCTTCCAGTCTCTCATCCTCTTGCACACACTGCTCTTAAAAACCTTCATCAGTAGTTTATATCATACGCATAAGGGTTTTTTTTTGCAGTTACTGCAAATTCCTGGCAGCCACTAGACAGCTTCTCTCTTCCAGCTTTGACCCAGGACATCCCTGCTTCAGCGCTGAGGTGATTTAATGTGGAAACCTGTGGGAGAAGCAGGCTTCAGCCTGCCCTAGGGACATTACAATGCTGTCCTCTCCCCTCTGGAGCTGCCCACACAGCCAAGGCTCACTCCAGCCTTTCCCACCATGGAGGAGAGTGTCCTCCCTGGCCCAGGAGAGGCTGGGAGGAAGCATCCTTCACTCCTTGCTGTGTAATTTTGTAGGGAAGGAGGCTCTACATCTCCATACTGTTTGTCTTGCTTTCCTCAGGAGTAGGAGGGAACATGGGTCCTGGGTTCAGCTGGCGCATGTCTCAGCAGCCTGGCTTCAATTCCACCTGCATGTCTGGGGGGTTTAACTTGCAAAAAGTACTTTGCAGACTGTCCTTGTCCTTGTGCTGCCTGATACCCCCAGAAAACTGGTTTTGGGGCGTCAAGCTCCTGTCATAACAGAGCAGCTCTGTGCTGCTGTGTCCAGGGAAGGCTGGGGGGTGCATGGACAGGAGGGTGGAGAGAGGTGGGGGTGGGTCTGTTCAACCAAGGAACAAGGGACAGGACAAGAGGAAATGGGCTCCAGTTGTGCCCAGGGCAGTTGAGATGGGATGTGAGGAAGAATTTCTTTGCTGCAAGGGTTCTGAGGCATTGGAAGGGGTTGCCCAGGGCAGTGGTGGAGTCCCCATCCCTGGAGGGGTTGAAGAGTGGTGTAGACATAGTGCTGGGACATGGGTTAGTCATAGGGGACTTGTCAGTGTTGGCTCAATGATTGGACTTGATGATCTTAAAGGGCTTTTCCAGTCCAGGGAATTCAGGGATCCTGTGCCAGCCCTCCCGTGGGCAGGCTGTGTGCCTCTAGGCTTGGGGGTCCCAGCCAGTTGCTGGCTGCTGCTCTCTGGAGAGGAACCTTGTGGGAAGGTGCTTTTCCCACCTCTCTCCAGTCATGCTGCACCCTTGCTCTGTCACACACCCTCCTCCGAAGCTGTTCCCAGTGGGAGGATGGAGGGTTGTCCTGGTTTGGCTAGGACAGAGTTGATTTTCTTCTCAGTAGTTAGAAGAGCCGTGTTTTGGTTTCAGTTCAGACTTGCTTTGAGAACTTCATTGGTAAAAGTACCAATATTATTAGTTACTGCTGGAGCTCAGGGCCATCGTGTTTGGCTGTTCACAGCCTTGAGCTCCAGCAGTAACTACTGAGAAGCAAATTAACTCTATCCTAGCCAAACCAGGACAAGGGTGGGAAGTGAGATGCTCATGGGACAGCACCTGTGAGACCAGCTCGAGGGATGCAGGGGAAGGTGGCACCCAGTTCCAACAGACTCAGGTAGCAACCGTCTTCCTCCTCCTTGTACCAGAGTGTGTGATCCCCTTCCCCTCCCAGCCCCGGAGCAGGACGCAGCCTTTGCAGTGTTGACTGTTGCAGGAAAGCAGTGGAGCTCCATGGTGCTGCCTCTGCCAGCTGTAACCATTTTCCCTTGCATCTGCCCAGGTTTGGATGCCAGTCCCCCGGCCAGTACTCATGAACTCACCATTCCCAATGATGTAAGTAAACCCAAGCGCTTCCTCCTCTTGTTTGTGTGTGTGTATACACATATATACATGTGTGTGTGTGTATTTTATATATATATATATAAAAGTTGAAGTCATATGACTTCCTTAAAGATGTTTAGATGTTTAGAGATGACCCTTCAGCAGGTTCACCCATGCCATGTACAATCTGTTGGGGATCAGCATGAAGCACCCGTTGGACTTGACCCCATTGGTAGCTTTCTCTAGGTACAATCCTTCTTGTTGCTCCTTTTCCCTTTCCAAGTGAACTCAGTGCTCATGAAACGTGCCCAGTTGACAGCACTGGGAAGGGGAGAGAGCTGAGCCAACCCTGATTAAACCATAATTGCTTAATTTAGCACTGGCTTGAGCATAATTACTGGGGGGGGGATTTGGAGAGGAGGTAAGTAAGTAGTGTTTCTAATGCCACAAAGTGTCACACGAGCTTTTGAAGGATGGTGTGTCTCATCTTGGTACCGGTGGCAGTCAGCTTGTGGGTGTTATGGATGGAGGCGTTGTGGTAAAGTGGATGTTGGAACTGGATGATCTTTAAGGTCCCTTCCAACCCAAACCATTCGATGAGTCCATGTTGCACTGGGATATTTGCTGGGAAGAGGCTGGAGTCACCGAGCGGTGTGAGGAGGATGCTTGGGGATGCTCAGGTGGGAGGAGGTGGCATGGAGAGCCCAACACAGCCAGCACCTGGATCCAAGGGTCTCACTTGCTTCTGGACTGGCCCACTGGTTTCCATGGGTTGATAACCAGCAGGTGCTCAAATCAGGATCAAGGCAAGCGAGGGGATGACTTCCAGTCTCTGTCCCTGTCTCCATCACCTACAAGCACCTTCAGCCCATCCTCATCAGGAGTTTCTGGATCGGGTCTGGCAGCTGTTGCCACTTCTTTCTGCTGTTCACCAACCCTTGCGAGGCCTCCTTCTACCCAAGAGATGTGGCAGTGAAACAGCTTCTGAGCATCTGCCGGCTGAAACCCTCAGAGATGCTTCATCCTGGGGCCACCTGCTATGGGAGGGCTCTGCAGAGGAGCCCAAGGGAGATGATGGCAGAGATGAATCCAGGTTTCCTTCTGTCCATCCAGTGAGGGAGGCTGTGGGAAGCTCTGCAAGTGCTCCTGAGGTTGCAACAGCCATGTCTGTCAAGCGTGGGGGACCCGTGGCCCTGGCAACAATGAGGGTGTCTTCAGAAATATCAAGGGATCCTTTGCAAAGGGGCCTTTCTTCCCCTTTAACGTGCTGAGGGACCTGCTGCAGGACCTGGGAACACTCGGAGCATTTACTCACTAAAAGCCTGTCTCTCATCTGACCTGCACAGCGTTCAATGTCATCACCTGCACCTTTCTGCCCACTGAAAAATGCCTCCTGTTGCTTTGAAGGCTGTTAGATGCCCACTACCACCTTCCCAGGAAGCAGAGGACAGGTTTGGGTTTCTTGAAGGTCTACAAGTGTGTTTCAGCGGTGTAGATCACCTTGTGATTACGCTGCAGAGAGTGTTGAAGGAAAACTGATGATCTTGTCACTCCTCTGTCTGTCAGGAGAAACTAGAACGCCGTGCAGAGGCACTTGGATGTTGATGAACCTCTCTCCAAATAGGTTTGGCTCCACAGATCTCCCCAGCATGTTCCCAGCTGTGAGGGATGTTCATTTGTTGAAGCATCTCTGAGTTATTTTTGCGCTGTGAAGACCAAGACGGGTGGCTGTTGGGCTGAACATCACACTGCAGCCCCCAAGAGAGTTGACACCCTTCCAGCACTGCAGTGGGGTGTGTATTCAGGTCCGTATGGGACAAATCACCGAGGTAGCCCCATGATCTGACAACAGCACCGGTGGACATTTGGAGGAGTAGTTGTCTCTGCTTCTACAGACAGCAACAGAAGTCCAGCAGCTGCTGAGATGAACGTCCCACATATAAAATTCCCAGGTGCAACCTTGGAAAGGAGCTGAAATGCTGATGGCCAAGCAGGGCATGCAGAAATACTTTGTGCCTGTGTTGGAAAAGTTGGATGTCTTGATAAGTGTTGCTAACATGTGGAAGTGCTTGAGGGAACCTTAGTTTGATGCACAACTGAGCTAGAGCAAAGATGAAGACCACTGAGGAAATTCAAGCCTTTGAGGACCTTTGAGGAAATTCAAGCCTTTGAGGACCTTTGGGTGTAATTTCTTCACAAGAAGGTGAAAGACACGTTTTTAAGTAGAATCCTCCTCTTCTGCTGGCACCACAGCCACGTGGTGCTCTCCTGTCAACAGCATGGACACTGACAAGCCCTCACGTTGCATTGGAAGAGCTGAGAGGGGTAACAGAGGCAACAGGCACCGGCTGCGGCGAGGGTGTCCCAGCAGCAGGGGAGAGGGGAAGGGTGGGATGGGGTGAAGCTCTCGGAGGTGTGTGGCTGCACCAGCTGATGAAGGGACACTTGGGGTTGGGCTGTCCCTGGGTTTGTTTCCTTCTGGTGATGCATCCCAGGGGATAGGTGTGGAGCACAGTCTGAAACATGACTTACACCCATCCTTAGACCCTTGCAAAACACGGACCCATTATTAGACCATGAAAATTATCATTACTGAAATGAGCCCGGTATAACGCCTCGCCCTTCCTGAAGCCCTCTGAGATGTTGGGCATTGTGTGCAGTTAATTGAAATTTGCCCCCCCCAAGGAGCAGGGCTGCTGGACGTGTCCTGGGAGGACCGTGTTTTTGTGCAGGTGGGATTCACCCCTGGGCTGTCCCTCTCCTGTTTTCATGAGCATTAAGGTCACTCGTGCCCCAGAGCAGAGGGAGGAAGCCTTCTGGCCGGTGCCGTGGGGTTGTGCTCGTGTCCCATCAGTGACTACCAGAGAGCTGCCACTTCTCAGACCTTCCCTCCGTGCTTTTTTTCTAGCTAATAGGCTGCATAATCGGACGCCAAGGGACCAAAATCAATGAAATTCGGCAGATGTCGGGAGCGCAGATCAAAATCGCCAACGCCACGGAAGGGTCATCGGAGCGCCAAATTACCATCACAGGAACCCCTGCAAACATCAGCCTCGCTCAGTACCTCATCAACGCCAGGTGAGACCCCCCC